ATATAAAAATTAAAAAAATTAAAATTCTCATTTTCTCCAGAATCAAGTTTTTGGTACTATTGCAAAGTAAGTAAATATAAGTGAAAAATATAATCAAATACATTATTATACCGTTGCATATAAACAATCGGGATCACCCAATAATAACAACAAGGAGAGTATAGCCAGAGGAACGAAGAAGAAGTAGCATGTACCTGAGAGTTCATGGAAGAATTTGCTCAACAAGGGTTGCAAGACTTAAGAACCTAAATCAACAACCATATGTCAATATAGTTCGCAGAGGTCCTTAGGGTAGTCACTATTAGGACATAGGCAAGGATGCCCTTTGCTTGTTTACTATTGCTCCTTCACCAACTTTTTTTTTTTTTCTCTCTCTCTCTCTCTCTCTTTCTTAATTGCCTCCCAATATAACTTTCCACTCCTTGGGCATGTTTCTCGGACAATCTTAGATTCAACATCCTTTAAGGTATGTCGAGCGTAGAAACATACCTTCAACAAGGAGAGGAACCCGACGACAACAACAAGGAGAGTCTAGCAAGAGGAATGAAGGAGAAGTAGCATGTATCTGAGAGTTCATAAAAGAATTTGCTTAGGAAGGGTTGCAAGACTTAAGAACCTAGATCAACAAGCATATGTCAAGATAGTTCGCTGAGGTCCTTAGGGTAGTCCCTCCCCTCCCCCCGCCCTCTCAAGTTCCAGTTGGAGAGCTTGCACGATAAGGAACACATAAACCCCCTTAAGGAAGTTGTTCGCCAATAATGGAAGGAGGAGAATCAACACACAAAAAAAGCCTGACACCAAATTGTATTAGGGATCCGCACCTATGGAGGAGAGGAACCGAGCGATGTTAATTGAGGCACAAAAAACAATTGAAGAAAACTTTCTCTCTGTAGGTCTTCAAAGTGTAACCCCCAGAGAAGGTTAAAATGTTGGTCCTGGAAGTGTAAAAAGGACGATCGAATCCCAACAACCACCTCGCATCGTTCAAATCCTTTATTTTCTTATGAAGATTTTAGATGCCCTCAATTGCAAGTTGTCATTGAAGATGCTAAGATTGACCACTCTAAGGTGGTTCGACAGATTGCTTGCAGAAGTAATCAACTGCTTCGCATAGTTCAAGAAGATTTTCCTATCCTAGTTTTCCAATGCCCTGAGGCCCAAGAAGAATGTTCAATCTCTATGGAGGCTGAACCAGGGTGAAAATGAGAGCATGTGATCATTTTTTGCTTGTTTCTAGAGTGAGACACTAGATGTCAAGGACGTGAAGCCCACATGGCTTAGGCCACGCTAACACAGGGAGTAAAGTAGGAGAAGTTCTGATTTGACCCCAAACTTACAAAACCACTGAGCTTGGCTGAGCTGTTGAAGATGGCCAACAAATACATCGTCGCCTACGACCTGAGCCCACCAAGAAAAGACATCAGAAAAGACCTCCATAAGACATTGGGGGACGACCCAAACAAAGCACACGACCTTCAAACCACCCCCGCTGTGAAAGTCGCCTCGATAACCACTATACCCGGCGATGAGAAGACCAGTGACAACCAACTAAACACCTGTACTGAGTAGCTGTGATGACGTTCATACGTCACAGAGGCTGGAGTTGAAATTGCACAATATGTGGACCACACAGCTTTTAGTTGGTCACATACGTCGTAGTGGTGAGTTGTGATGGTGTTCATAAACAAAAGAGGCAGGATTCAGAAGCTGCACAATCTATGAGTTATGTAGGTCGTAGTTGGTCACATAGGCCGTAGTGACAAGCTGCGACGAATTTTGTAAGTTGTAGGGCCATAGTCGGTAGTTGCACGAGCTGTGAGCCACATAGATCATAATTGGTCATGTAGGTCATAATGGTAAGGTGTAATGACATCCATAGGTCACAAGGGTCAGAGTCAAGAGCTACACGAGTTGTAGACCACATAGGCTATAGATGGTATATAGACTATATTGGTGAGTTGTGATGATGTTTATCACATCGTCCTCTGGAGGAATCATTACAACATATGTAGGGAGCATTATTACACAATCATCAGAGCGTGTCGTTGCACCATTACAATATTCAGGATACATTGTTACACCATCTCTGAGAGGTGTCATTGTACCTTATGTGAGGTGTAGTGTTTTGCAGAAAATATGGATATTCTATAATGTACGACGAGATTAGCCACACACATTATTACTCCGTAAAGACTTTGCTGTAAGGGGCATGTAGCTATTGATAGTGGTTGACGATATAGGGCAGAAAGTGGTTGATTGTGGCCAGTGACTGCAAGAATAAGAGAAATTTGTTGGATTTATGGTGCAAAAGAGATGTTTGACATCTTCTCCTTCTCCAAAATTCAATCTTTTTTAGCTCAAGATCTTGCCCCTTGCAAGAGTGAGGTAGGACTATATTTATAAAGTTCATGAAGCAAATAAGAAAGGAATCTAAATCACTTGATAGGACGATTTGGGGAGGTTTCCTTGATCACACTGTGTTATGTGGACATTTATGGATCTTCATAATGTCAAAGTTGTGTGAGCTTAGGCTCATTGGATTTGTTTTATCAAGACACTTGATTTGACTATATGCATGTCATATTTGAAATCATCTTGACCTTCCAATTATGCACTGAAAGCTTCCAAAAGCGGTTTAAGGACTTCATTTGATTTTCATTGGACCAACTTTGGTACATTTAGGTTCGGCTCGTCAATTCGATCAGTTTGACTGTAAGTTAACTAAAATCAGAGTTTTGAATCATTGGAGTTTGTACATTTCATGATAAAAAAACATCATGAGATTCAGGTAATGTTTTGATATTCGTGTCAGGTAATGGAATACGTTAATAACAGATCAAAATTAAAATTGATATCATATTTTTCTCTTTCAAGAAGTTTTTTTCTCCACTTAAAAAATGTCATAAACCTCTTCATTGTGTGGAGAAGTTGTACACACTCATATAGGAGAGAATATTACGTATGTTATCCGTACATGCAAATCGAGCGAGTGCACTCTGATTATACTTCAACTACACTCCGAATACATCCCCAACACACTCATCCACGTAATGTTTTTTTTTTCATATAGGTGAGCGATACCACATTATAAAAGTGTCCTTTTACCTTAGTTCATTAATTGTGGCTATTTGTTATCCTTTTAAACATCCACTGGTATCGTCTTGCGATCTTCATTCATACTTGATCCCAATAAATTATGCATGGGATTCAATTAACAATTAAACTCAAGCTTTGACGATGCTTCAAGCTTGCATATATCTATATCATATTTGAATAAAATTTGATAGAAACAAAATAAATAAATAAATAAATAAAGAGTGTATGACAACTATAAAAGACATGCACTAGTGAATTTTTTTCCAAGAGTGCCGAAAAAGATTTTTTTTGCAAAAGAGTAATCTTTTAAATTCACGAGGATCATGAAGAGGGTTCGGAGTGTCGTTGCTATGATATGGCTTTATGGGAAGAGGAGAGAGGATCAAATTTAATTGAAGTGTTCCCGCGTTGGTGAGAAGATTTGTAATGTAAGTAAATTGATGCATGATGTAGCCAGTGGAGGTGGAAGAAATTTGTAAAATTAGAAAATTAGATATGCTCCCATGTTGTTTAAGATTGAATTGTTGGCTGAGGTGATTAATGAGGGAAATTATAGCGGCGGAGGAATTACCGATGAAGAGAATATCATCAACATAAATGAGAAGATAATTCAAATATTATGTTGATGATAGCGTAATAAAGAGGGTCCAGTGGTGCTTGATTTGAAGTTGTGTGTGTGTAGAAATTGACTAAATGTGGAATATCATTTTTTGGGTTCTTGTTTGAGATCGTCAATAGTTTTTGTAGTTAACAAATGTGATTAAAAAATTGAGATGGTGAAGATTAAGAAATTTGGTAGATTTCAAGGAGCCAAACTTAGATCTAGTGGTCATGGTGTCAGGGCATGAGAGAGTGGAGGGGATAGTGTAATGTAGAGGAAGTGGAGGGGTATGAGAGAAAGTAGGTCGTTCAGGTGAAGGATGAGGGGGAATATGAGGAGTAGGAGGAAGTGAATGTGAGGCTGGTGAAGAGGGAAGGATGGAGGGAGGATTGCATTTAGTGGAAGTGGGAAGCATGAAGGACGGGGGAATGGAAGAGGGTGGGTTTTCAGTTAACTTGAGGGAATAGGTATTTTGAAAAAGAAAATGAGTCAATAAACTTAAATGGCGAGTAAAGATAAGCTTATTTGTGTTAATATCAAGACACTTATAGGCTTTGTGATGATGACTGTACAGGAGAAAGAGGCAAGTGGGAGCCTTTTGGCTAAATTTGTTTGAGGCAAGTGGTTATTGCTAAGCAAAACTAACACGCCAAAGGTTTTAAGCTGTTGTTATTTAGGTTTGGTGCTGTGTAAAAGTTGAAATGGTAATTTTATTGAGTAGTGGGAGAGGTTAACTTGTTAAAAAGATAATTAGTAGTGAACATGATAGCCATCCAGAAATGGGATGGAAGGTGAGTTGTGTTAATAAATGTTCTATTTCAACCAGGTGCCTATTTTTGCTTTCAACTAAGCCATCTTGTTTAGGGGTGTGAGGGAAACTAAATTGATGGGTAGTATCGTGGTCTTCTAAGTAATTAATTAAAGGATGTGATCGATATTCACGACCTCCATTGGATCTGAGGTATTTGATATTTTTATTATAATGAGTTGGTATATATTTATGTAAATGCAAAAAATGACATATAACATTAGATTTGTGTTTCATGGGAATGCACCAACAATACTGGGAATGGGCATTGATGAAAGTAACATAATACACATAACCATCCAAAGAAGAATGACAGAACGGACCCCAAACATCTAAATGTATTATTTCAAGTAAACAACAAGAGTATTACTAGAATTAGAAACTAGTTTGTGACTTTTATTTTTCAAGAAATCATGACATGTTAAGTAATTTTGAGAAATCAAAAGTTGAGAATTTTGTTTGGAAATAAAAGTAAGAATCTTGCGATGAGGGTGCCCGAGCCTTTCATGCCATGTATTGGAGAGAATTGTGGTAAGATGTAATGATGTAGTAAAATAAAGTCCTTGACTAGCAGGACCTGTCAATAGAGTTTTCTTGGTTTTGAGATTTTGTATATGAAATTGGTTGGGTGCAGAAATAATTTGACAGCCGTTATAACATAAGCTTATTGTATGGAGTAGGTAAATACCTTTATTGGTGTGGAAGGTATTTGTAACTTGCTCATTTCCAACTCTCACTTTATCTGCGCCTTAGTATGTCGTTATAACATAAGCTTATTGTATAGAGTAGGTAAATACCTTTATTGGTTTGGAAGGTATTTGTAACTTGCCCATTTCCAACTCTCACTTTATCTGCGCCTTAGTATGGTGTGGGAAGTTGCACATTTTTCAATGTGAGGTGTGTTGTGAGACATAACACCGACATCAAGGATCCATTCTTGTGGAGGAGTTTGAACATTTGTGTTAAGAGCTGTATGTGAGGATGGAATGGTAGGTTTGTGTTGCAGATTTGCCCTATGCCAACTGATAACAACAATATGTCCTTGCTTGTAACATTTTTTACAAGAAACATATGAGTTATGTTTAGAAGCGTTGTTAGAGATCTGTTGCCTGTTGTGAACCAAGGCCTTGTTGGAGGTTCTTTGATTGTGTTGCGTGGCTTTGTTCTTGGTTGTGAAAAGAACAATGGTTGGATTTGTTTTGGTGGCCTCAGTAGCAAGATTGCTTTCCTCACTGAAGAGTAGATCGTAAAAAGCTTACAGCTCAATGGGATGTAATTGCGTTCAAATTGCGATCTTGATGCCTTGGTAGCTAGGATGGCGAGGTCTTCAAATTTGATGTCGAAATTGGTTCCTGCGACTGCTATGTCATAAACCATCGTTTTAATAATCATAATTTATTGATTCGCGGTGTCGTTGCCCATCGATTTGTGGTAGAGTTCATTCTTTAATTGAATGCACATGATCTATTTGTGGCTTAAAATCTTTTCTCTAAGAAAAGCCAAATTCCAGATGTATGATTTAAATGAAGAACATAAGCTGTAATAGTGGGGAAGATGGTTGAAAGAATGGCGCCTGCAAGGTTCCGAAGCACAAGTTGCCACAGAGTATAGTCAACAGTGTCTTCCTAGTTGTCAACTTCATCTTGACTAAATCTTGAAGGAATGGGAATGGTGGAATCTAAAAATATTCAAAACCATTTGTTGCAAATAGTTTATCAAGTCTTACCTTCCAGACAGGGCAATTTTCATATGGCATTGGTTGATTTGCTATAGTTATGATGTGTTTCATCAGGAATAAAGAGAGTTGGGAATGCTTGTTTCATTGATCCGGTTGAGAGAGGTGGCTGTTGATAGCATGATTTGTAGAGTGGTTGTTGATTCATGATGTACCGCTGCCTTGAGAAACTTGAAATGCATATAGAAGATCGGAGGGAAGAGATAAAGAGGTTAGGAAAAGGAGAATAAAGGAAGCAGTCAACTGATTTGATGCTCTGATATCATGTTGAAACTAACCTTCATGATCGAAATAAAGACAACAAGAATGGGGAAGCATTTTCATTCTAGAAGAAAGATAAGTGTTGATGTTCTCACTCAATTAACTCTTCCAGTACATATGTACAAGGACATAAGATTAAAACGGTAATTAAACATAATGTAACTTATGCACTTTATATTAGAGGAAGGGAAACCTAAGCATCACAAGCCACGTTCAATCGAGAGGAAGAAACCCAACTGCTCGGGGCACCCTACGAAGCTCTGTTCTGCCGTTGCCGAGGGACGCAGCCTGTTAATATTTATATAAAATATTATTGTTGATTTATTAAACATAAGAAATATTTTATAAATTTTAAAATTATTTCTTATAAAATTTAATGTGGTATAGAAAATATCTCAACATTAAAATACATAAAAAAATTAGTTAAATTTATAAGCATTCAATCATACTAAAATAATTATTAAATACAAGCGATGAAGTCTTTTAATTTCAATAATTAGAAGACGTTTTTTCATATAAATAAAAAAAGTCATTGTGTGTCAAGAGATTCATGACAGTAGAGTGATTATCTATTATCTCAACGTTGCACCAAAGTTCAACAACATACACAAATAATAGAAGTAACAGGTGGAGACACCAAAATTATTTACTTGAAAAATTTGAAAGGGAAAATTTATGGAACCTAGTCCAGATAAAATAATCCACTATGAGCTAGTTATTTTACGTTAGTACCGTTGTCTCACAGGCGGGAAGCGTTACATAGTTCTTCAACATATCATGTTCGTATGTCGAAGGAATTATTACACATCGGTCAGGTGCAGTTGCGGCTAGTGCATACTTATCAAGGCCTTGGTATACTGTCTTCGTGCATTGCGCTAAAGGACGATCATTGCTCTGTAATGATGCTTTGTTACTCTACAATGTTGGTTGTTACTCCGCATTGTGCTTCTTTACTTCGTCATGTACGTCTTGACCCTACATGGGGCTTCGTTGTAACGAGTAAGGGGAGGTCGACAGTAGTCAACAACGACTGATAAACGTTGGTCAGCAGTTGTTGGAGCTTGGAGCATTCTTCTAATCTTTGGTGCATGAAACGATGTTGGAATTTAGCTTGTCTCGATCCTCCTCTAAGTTCAGGTCCTCCTCCGGTTTAAGGTTTAAGTCCCTCTTTTTAAATGGAGTAGGGTTCTATTTTTAGTATGGGAGAGGCTTTCCTTCAAATAAGAAAAGTATCTAAACCACTGCATCAGACGTGCCAGAGAGTTTTCCTTAATTAGGCATTATTTTGTGAATATTTGAGTCCCTCAATAATGCTATAATTGAGTGATTTTGAGCTCATTGGATTTGTATTGTCGAGACACAAAATTTGACTATAAGCTTATTAGGTTTGAAATTTATTTGACCTTTTAGTTATACACTAAAATTTTATAAGAGTGACTTAATAACTTGATTTGAGCCTAATTTTACTTGATCTGAATTAATTTCAACATCGTTTGGCCTGTCTCTTTGAGACTGTCAACATTATTATAATTTAGTTGAAATCAAAGTTTTAGATAATCTTGTAATCTTAGTTTGAATGTTTATAACTCAAAGACAATTCAATATTTATGTTAATTGCCTAGAGATTCACGTAAAATGATAATTTATTGATAATATATTAGTTGCCGCCTAATTTTCTGACTACTTTACTTGCTCATCCAAAAATTATGTAAACAAGGTTATTAATAAGATTTAAATATAATGAATATGAAATATAAAAATTAACCAAGAGCAAGTTAAAATGGACTAAGTAAATTATATTCCAACATGAAAAAATAAATATATCAAAATTAACTCTAATGAGATTAATGTTCAAATGGGAGTAGATCAGCCTGCGCATATGATATGTGTATTGTCTTTTTCTGGAGTTGAAACTTACCGACCGTCTTCTTTCTTCTGCCTCTTGCCGCTACATCAACATCACCGCCTCTACGCAACTGTTTCTCCTATTTAGAACTTCAAATCCTCGAGCTTTTCATCATCTCCGGCGAGGTACGGCGATAAAGAGAGGAGAGAGAGATACATAGAGATGGAGATATATAGAGATGGGAAAAGGGGGATCAAAGGTGGAAGTTGAGAGAGAGATACATAGAGATGGGAAAAGGGGGATCAAAGGTGGAAGT